AGGAAGCAACAATATTCGAACTGTGGACAATGGCAGCGCCGCTGTTGGCGGCAACAATGAAGATGGTAGTGGAAACAACAGTGGAGGATACGGCGGTGGTCAGGGTGGTGAACGCCATGAGTAGGGCGATGACTGAGCCCATTAGCATTTAGATATAAATAACTGTGATTGCGCCTCTAGTGGCATCACATAATGGTGCAGCCGTGCAGGTCGTTTTTAAGGTAGGCTTCAGTAATTTCTAGTGTTTGGGTCAAAACAATTGCTAGCTAAGCAATTATTATTGTATTTTATGGGTAATTAAAAGGATTTGTTGACTTAAAGTTGTTCTTTTTGGGCTTCCTCCCTCCTTTGGATTGGCAAATTGGGCTTTGTATTACCCAACTCCTTTTGGGTTTTATGTATGAAACAAAAATAGTGACTAATCTGTTTTGAGAATTCATTCTAATTCTTCTGTGTCTATTCTTGGATCATTGGCTTGGCCGGGTGCCCAACATCAGAAATTCCTAAAATTGTAAGGTGAAATGAGTCAAATAGTTGTTGCTATTCTTTAGGAGTAAGTTATGCAGAAGTGGTTTTAGTTTTACTGCTTGTAGTGCCAATGCAAACCGCCCATTGCTTCCAATCCAGTCTCTCAGAATCAGAAACTACACCATTACTGCTTGTAGAACCAAGGTAATCCCAATAATTAGCCAAAACTTTCTTATTCTTGTGTATCCCCTTAAATATGTTCTTCTAATCCAGATTTGTTGCATTAAAATCTCAACAAATTTTTTTTGTCTTGCGGACTTTTTTGTTGCAAATGTAGTTTGGGCCTTTTACTATCGAGCCCAAATATTAAATCTTTTTTTTTCACCAAGAAAGCAATTTTATTTAATAGAGAAGAAGTCAATACAAAGAGAAAGGCTAGAAAGTACAACAGAAAACTTTCATAGCCAAAACAAAACAACTAATGAGGAGCAGTGACACCATCTTTGTTCCAGATACCCACAAGAGAAGATGTTGGAGACTGACGCCATTCAGCCCAGCACATTTCTTAGACTGTTGAGCAAATCAGTATGCCGCCTTATTGGCACTTCTATTGATCTTTCGAACCTGCTGATTCTCAAAACTATGCAAGAGACTTTGAATATCCAAGATAATTGGACTAATTCTCCAATCTAGATGCTCAAACCTGGTGCAAGTAATATTCCTAAGAAGCTCGGAAGAATCAATCTCAAAACATACTTTCATATAATCTCTCTGAACTGCCAAAAGAGCAGCATCTCTTAAAGCCAGGGCTTCCACACTCAGAGCACTACAAGCAGAGACTTTCTTCCCATAAGCATCTATAACTTGTCCTTCATGATTTCTTATCACTACCCCAATTCCAGCCGACCTTTCACTTGCATAGAAAGAACCATCACTGTTAAGCTTTAAAAAACCTTCATCAGGTTTAGTCCAAGTATGATGATCACTCCCTACTTCATTATTCTTCACATTCCTTGTTGCAGCAATAAACTTGGCCAATTCATATTCACCTATAGCTCTCTGGAGGCGATAAACCACTCTATCTGGCTGTAGTTCCACATGAGTAATTACCACTTCACATCTGACTTTCCAAATGATCCAGTAGGTAAAAGCTATCTTCATCAATATCATTTGCCCTGCATCTGACAGCCCCTGAAGCTTTTTAACAACACTGGCTAACCAGTCATCAAAAGTAGAAATACTCTGCTTATCAATCTGCAACCCACAAATACTCAGCCAAATCCCACGAGTCCAGTCACAAGAGAGTAAAAGATGCTCTATAGTTTCATCATATTGTCCACAAATACTACAAATACCAGATGCCCTACAATTCCTTTTATATAATCCTACAGCAGTAGGCAATGCATTCCTACAGCATCTCCACAAAAAAGTTCTGATTTTCTTAGGACAATTAATATTCCAAACAATATTCCACAAGTCCTTATCAATTCTATGAGAGCTAGATGCCTTATTGGGATTCTGACTAGTAACAGCATTACATTTAATAGCATAATAACCAGATTTTACTGAATACTGACCTAAAGTAGTGGGGCCAGACTCTTCTATCATCCCTCTCAATGAGACCTAATGGAATTCCACAAATCACTTCTTGTTCTGCCTCTAGGATCCATTGTCTTATTGACTCAGTATTCCAACACCTCTAATCATGATTAATGAATTCTGCCACTTTAACAGGTTTTTGCTGATTATTACCATCCAAAGCAGACAATCTATCTATATTAGGAACCCACTTGTCAGCCCAAATTTTGATATTCTGTCCATTACCCACCTGCCACAGCATATGCTCAGATAAAAACTCTCTTCCTTCCAGCAAACTAGACCATGACCAAGAAGCTCTAGCTCCCTTCCTTGCTTGCATAAAGTCAGAATTGGGAAAATATATTCCTTTCAAAACTTTCACCCACATAACAGAAGGATTTTGCAGTAACCTCTAGGCTTGTTTGGCTAAAAGTGCTTTATTGAAAGATTCCAAATCCTTGAATCCCATTCCACCTTCTTTTTTTTGGCAAAGTCATAGTTTCCCAGCTACACCAATGAATTTTCCTCTCAGAATCATGCTGCCCCCACCAGAATTTAGCCACCATAGAATTAATATCAGCACACACTTTCTTAGGAAATTTGAAACAAGTCATCGTATAAGCTGGAATTGAACTAACTACAGCCTTTATAAGTACCTCTTTGCCTGCAAGTGAAAGAAGTTGTTGTTTCCATGTTTTGAGCTTAGCTTCAACTTTGTCTCTAATACTATTTAAAGCACCACACTTTGTTTTGCCCCACAAGGACTGGAAACCCAAATATAACCTAGGATTTGCTGCTTCCTTTATCTGTAATCGATTTGCCACTTCCGTGTGCACATTCAAAGGAGTATTAGCACTGAAGATTAAATTAGATTTATCCAAGTTAATCTTCTGTCCAGAAGCAGCAGAGAAATCCTGTACAACAGCAAACAACTTTCCACAATTATCAGGGTCAGCTTTCATGAAAAAAAGAGAGTCGTCCGCAAATAAGAGATGGGACAGCTCAAGACAACTTCTAGTAACCTTCACATGACCAGATAAATGTTTAGTATCAATACCTAAGTGGATCAACCTAGACAACACATCAATGACAAAAAGAAACAAATCAGGGGATAGAGGATCCCCTTGCCTAAGACCTCTAGAAGGAGAAATTCTACTACTAGATTTACCATTCACAACTAAAGAGTAAGAAACGGAACTCACACACTCAAAAATTAAATCACACCATTTTTTGCAAAAACCAATTTTTTGGAGAAGGGCATAAAGGAAATCCCACACAAGTCTATCATATGCTTTACTCATATCCACCTTAACAGCCACATCACAGCTACCACCCTTCTTTTTCACCTTCAAATAATGGAAAACCTCCTGAGCAATCACAACATTATCATGGATTTGTCTTCCTTCAACAAAAGCACTTTGTTCCTCCGAGATCCACATCCCCATAAAAGGCTTCATTCTGTTAACCATCACTTTAGAGATGATCTTATAAGTGAAGTTACAAAGACTAATTGGCCGAAATTGAGTTAGATTTTCAGGCCCCTTAGTCTTTGGTATCAGCACAATATCAATACAATTCATCTCCTTAAGCATTCTGCCATTTCTGAAAAAATTCCTAACCATCATGCACACATCCTGTTTTACCACCTCCCAATGCTTTTGAAAGAACATTCCATTAAACCCATCAGGCCTAGGACTCTTAAGTTCTCCCATCTGAAAAACAGCTTGTTTAACTTCTTCATCAGACACACTTCTTATTAATTCCTCATTCACATCATTGTTGACTAAAACTGGAACACAATTCAGAATATCAGTCCAATCCCTACTACCATTGGTCTTGAAAAGGTCATCATAATAACTCACAAATTCAGACATAATATCTTCTTCTTTCTCAATCCAGCTATCCTCTACTTTCAACTTCAAAATCTTATTATACTGTCTCCTTTTTAAAGTAGTCTGATGAAAATATCTTGTATTACTATCACCATGGTTCAGCCAATTAACCCGGGCCCTTTGATATCTGACTTGGAATTAAGGTGACTGAATCCTGCTGAGCTTAGGTTTTAAGATTAAATCTGAGCTACTCATCTTAATTTTGTAATGTCAAAGACATACTTACCCTCAAGTGTAAATTGAGATATAAACAGATTGAGTTAACAATTCACATATTAGATTATTAGTATTAGAACCATGATGACTATTGAAATAAAAAAAAATGACGCGAATGCCTAGATATTAGATAATTAGTATTAGTTAAAAAAATTTTAAAAAAAGTTTGAATCTAGCAAAAAATGGAAAAATAGTAAATTTGAAAATCTAGGACACGTGTATAGATCATAATGAATCACACACACTTGATATAGCGAGTGTACAACCGATAATTAATGGTGGTCCCTATTTGACTCGGTTTTTAAAGGTTGGTCCCAATTTGCCAAGAAATTATTGGATGGGACCAATTTTACCATGACATTCATATTCCCAAGCGATAAAATTGTGATAAGTTAGATTTTGTCCTAAAATTTAGGTACAAATTTAGCACATGTTTAGCCCAACTTTCAGCCACACGAGGACCAATGAGTCTAATGGCTTGGAACTGCCAAGGGCTTGGACAACCCTCGGCAGTCCGAGCTCTGAGAGAGCTCATCCAAAAACATCGTCCCTCCGTTGCTTTTCTCAGCGAAACCAAGCAAAGGAGATCAAGACTGGAAAGGTTAAGGAATCGGTTTGGGTTTACAAACAGTTTTTATGTTGATCCAATGGGAAGATCTGGCGGACTTGCTTTATGGTGGCATAATGATTTTAGTTTGGAAATTTTGGCTTCTACAAGATTCTTTCTGGATGTTAAACTTAATATGAACAGCAACCAATATTGGTTTTACACTTTTGTTTATGGGGATCCAAAGAAAGCAGGGAGAAGAAATGTTTGGGATGCCATTACTGAATTGAGAGGAAATAATGAGGAAAAATGGTGTTGTATGGGCGATTTCAATGCTATCAGCAGTCAAGCAGAAAATCGTGGAGGTAGGCCTATTGATGAGCACCAGGCCTATCTCTTCAATAGTTTCATCCAACATTGTAACCTCATGGAAGTTGAAATTCAAGGAGGAGCTTTCTCTTGGTCCAATAATAGAACAGAGGAGGATAACATTCAAGAGAGGCTTGATAAGATACTTGCAACAGTGGAATGGAGTGATTTTTTTCAACAATGCACAAGGCTGGTATGAACCGAATATTGCTTCGGACCATAATCCCGTCTTTCTTTCGCTTGATAAGATAAAAGGCAGCAAGAAAAGGGATTTCAGGTTTGAGTCTAAATGGTTACTTGATGATGATTGCCCAGGTGTTGTTGAGGAAGGCTGGACAGAACCTGTCAACGGATCCAGAATGTTTAAACTTGCAAGGAAACTCACAGCCACTAGAAACAAGCTTAAAAAATGGAGCAAGGAGAAATTTAAGAATCCAAGGTTGGCTATTGAAGCAATGAAGAAAAGAATCCAAGCAATTCAAGCACTCCCTGTCACTGACTCTTTAAAAGAGGAAGTCACTGCTTTAAAAAAGTCAATTGATGAGAAATGGCAAATGGAAGAAAGACACTGGCACCAAAGATCAAGACTGAATTGGATCCAATTTGGGGATCGTAATACCAAATTCTTCCATTCAACAACAATACAGAGGAGGAGAAGGAATACTATTAGTAGAATTCGGCTTGATGATGACAGTTGGCTCGAAGGGGACGAAGATATTAGGAATCACATTCTGAGCTATTATAAGGAGTTATTCACGGCTGGGGACCTAAGGAATGTGGAGGAAGTTTTGGAAGCAGTCAATCCGGTGGTAACAACTGAAATGAATGAAACTTTAAGTCGTCCAGTTAGTGGTGACGAGATTGAGAAAGCAGTATTTGCTTTGGGAGCCCATAAAGCACCGGGGCCAGATGGTTTTCCTGGTATCTTCTATCACCAGTTTTGGGGCCAAGTCAAAACTCAAGTAGTGGAAGCAGTGAAGAGTTTTTTTTAGAGTGGTCACATGTTACGAGAACTTAATCGCACTAATATTGTCCTTGTTCCTAAGCAACAACAGCCTGAGTCGATCTCTCATTTTCGACCAATTGGGCTTTGCAATTTCATCTACAAGGTCATCTCGAAAATCCTTGCAAATAGAGTGAAAGACATACTCCCTTGTATTATATCTCCAACCCAATCGGCGTTTATCTCAGGGCGTCAAATCCAAGACAATATCATCACCGCGCATGAAGCTTTTCACGCTCTTAAAGAACGCAGAAGTGGGCGCAAAGGCTTCATGGCGCTTAAACTTGACCTTAGCAAAGCCTACGACCGTGTTGAATGGTCATTCCTCGAAAAGCTTTTGTATAAAATGGGATTCTGTTCCTTTTGCGTGTCACGGGTTATGGAGTGTGTAACTACTGTGCAATTCTCTATTGTCTTAAATGGGGAGAGAGGAGATGTTTTCCTGCCTGAGAGGGGTTTGCGACAAGGCGACCCTCTCTCACCTTATTTGTTCATTTTCATTGCAGAGGTGCTATCTTGTCTCATTAACAAGGCCATTGCAACGGGTCATTGGCAAGGTTTTCGCATCAACAGAAGATGTCCTCTCCTTTCGCATCTTTTGTTCGCAGATGATTGCATCTTATTCTCTGCTGCTGATCAGAAAAATTGTGATGTTATCATGGATATCTTGGATAAATTCAAAAACGCCACAGGTCAGATGGTTAACTTCTCAAAATCTGCAGTTTACTTCTCTTCTAATGTTAATGGAACTTGTAGGCGTGATTTGAGAAATAAATTGTCAGTCCAAGATATGGCCCATGACAGTAAGTACTTGGGACTTCCTACTATTTGGGGAAGAGGTAAAAGAGCTGCCTTGCGTTTTATTCTGGACAAAATTCAATCTAAAATGCAGGGATGGAAATGTAAACTTCTTTCACAGGCTGGAAGGGAAGTTTTGCTAAAGGCCGTGGCGGCCGCGGTGCCAGTCTACGTTATGCAATGCTTTCTTCTCCCCCATTCTTTTTGCAAGGACATTAATGGTATCCTTAACAGGTTTTGGTGGAATGGCAAAGACGATAATGATCATAGTATCCACTGGCTAAAATGGGCTCACCTAGCTTCTCACAAAGATCATGGAGGTATGGGCTTTCGTGACTTCAACAGCTTTAATATAGCCCTTCTCGCGAAACAAGCATGGAGATTGATAACCAACCCCGATTGTCTCTGTTCCAAAATTCTTAAGGGAATTTACTTTTCGCATAGTTCCCTTTTGGAAGCGCCGAGAGGTAGGAAAGGATCATGGGCATGGAGAAGCATTTACGAGGGCATTAAACTTATTAGAAAAGGTGCAAGATGGAACATAGGCAACGGAGAGAATGTTCTGATTTGGCATGACAAGTGGATTCCAAACCTCCCTTCTTTTAAAGTTTCTTCTCAACCTCCGAATGAGTGCAGTCCCCAATTGGTGCGAGACCTCATTGATTCAGAACATAAAAGATGGAAGTCTGAGGTGCTTAATGAACTGTTCAGTAGAGAAGAGGTCACTGCTATTAAAAAGATTTCGATCGGCCCCCATGATCTTCATGACAAACTAGTTTGGAACTTCACCACGGATGGAGTCTATACGGTCAAGTCTGGTTATAGACTTATTCATAATCATGATTCGTTACAAGACAGAGATGTCTTTGTCTCGAATCAATCTCTATCCAATAATTTTTGGAGGAAAGTTTGGGGTCTTAAATCTGTGCCTAAGGTAAGGAATTTTATTTGGAGAGCTTGCAAAAACATCATCTCGACAAGAGAGAACTTGGTTAGGAGACGTCATGGCAGGGACTCTAGTTGCTTACGTTGTGGAGAGGAAGTTGAGTCTCTCGAGCACATCATGTTCTTCTGCCCGTTTGCTCAGGCTACTTGGAAACTCTCTCACTTTAGCTATTCACCGAGGAGGGAAGGCTTTACGAGCTTTCAGAACTGGTGGGATAAGGTGGCCTGCACTTTTGCGGACTTCGGGTCCTTTAGCTCCATTAGTCTCATCAGTTATTTGTGTTGGAATATTTGGAAGGCAAGGAACGCTTTTCTTTTTGAAGGACAAAGTGGTGAGCCAATGCGAGTTTGGAACAATGCTTGGCAGGAATTTCTTGAATTCATGGAGAAAACAGCAAAAGTAAGCCCTCAACAGATGTCAAGCTTTGGAAGTACTCCATGGCAGCCCCCTCGAATGACTCTATTAAGATTAATTGTGATGCAGCTTTCGACAAGGCGACGGGAGAGACAGGTTTAGCAGCGGTCTGTCGAGACCATACTGGAGCCATTGTTGATGGAATTTCTTGCGTTGCTTTTGCGGATTCAGTGGATGTTGCTGAAGCCCTCGCTGTTAGAATGCTTGTAAATTAGCTCTCCATCGCGGTTGGCACAAAGTCATAGTGGAATCTGATAACCAAGCTCTCATTCATCGCCTCAATAATCAAGCTCAAAAGTCTAGGTGGGACTCTACTGCTGTTGAGGTGGATATTAAGAAAATAGCTAGTGCTATGCGTCTTGTTTCTTTTGTTTATGTTAATAGAATCTGCCATCAAAGTGGCAGATTGGATTGCTAAAAAGTCTAAATTAAAAGCTTGCCCTTATGACCGGATGTACTCCCCCCCAAGTGAACTGGTGGGGCTTCTCAATTATCAATGAATTTGGCTGATTCCTAGCCTTTTTTCTTGAAAAAAAAAAATAATAATTTAGAAAAAAATTTGACTTGTCATAATCTTATTCACCGAATCATTGATGACGTGGTAGAAGCTATCCATATAATAATTTCTACAATTTGACACATCCTGGTGGCAGCTATAACTTTTTGGTTTAGTAAAAATCCGCCGTTGGACCCGCATCATTTATTGTATATATAAACCGAAAATTCATTCATCCGTCTTTAAACATATATGACATAATAGCTCCTTCTTACCAAAAATAAAAAGATGACGTAATGGCTAATAGCTGGTCTCTTGCATTTCTTCAACTTCAGATGATGGGGGTCTCATAAGAAAAACATACTATTCATCCACTTTCAACTTTTGTGTGTTCTGAATGGATTTGAGGTACGCCCTTTTCTTTTGCTCTGTGTCTTCTAAGGTCAGGGGAAGGATCAGATTCAGGAGTGCAATTCTCTTCATCTCTATTCTCTATACATTTTTTCCCCTTTTTTTGCTGTACTTAAGTTCATATTAATTTCGTTTAAGTGGTTGATTGCTAATTTTTACTATATATATTTTTTCTGGGGAGCAGATCGGTTCCTACAATTAACTAAGGCGCGCGGCCGCATAATAATAGGACATGCCGACAAAATTCCTCCCCACTCCAGATGCATAAAACTAAGGGCAAGAAGAAGAGTTAACTGTTATTTTACATCAGGATTTTTTTTTTTGGGCACTAAGACATCTGGATTTATGTTGTTCTATTTTTCAGATTTCCATTTGTTCTCAGCGACCGAAATCTTTTTTTTTTTTTTTCCTTCCCACAAGATCTTAGGAACAATCGCTTTGCTGGTAAGTTTCCTGGAGCAACAAATTCCATGGATGTGTACCTTCAAGTCTGACAGGTCTGGAAGAAATCATTCTATCAACAATGGGTTAATTTTCTTACATTGGAGTGGGATGGGAAGCCATGGGTTCCGATTGGGTGCTTGAAAGCCTTGTCCACTTATCAATTTTGGGAATTTCACCATCTTTTACAAGGGAAAATTAGTCAAATATCAGTGTTTTTTTTTTATATATATAGTATGGTATAAAAAATGAATAATGGTTTAAGATCTTGCTTGCCTAAGATGTTATGTTTAATGATTTGATGATGTTAGGAAACCTCATTGTTTCCTGATATCTTTCCCATTTTTTCTGTATAAGTAAGAGTGTGGGTTGAGTGATCAAGAAGTATGGATGGGTCTTGATAATTTTTAATATATCGATCTCAAGCTGAAAGCAATTTCTTTGCCTGGAGAAGTAAAGCCAATCTAGTGTTGGAAGTCCACTGCTGTATTTAAAGACTAGAGGAGAAGGTTGTTGGCAAATTATGGGCATAGGATTATCGTTCGTGCTCGTTCGATTTACGGGGAGATTTGCGCGATCAATCTCGCAATCACGCGAGCTTTTGTTTACAGACTGTGTTTTTTTGTCTTAATCTAGAAGCGGGTTTAGTGGGTCAGGTTCTCTCAGTCTTTGCCGCTCGACTGTCACCGGGAATCGGTCGATCGACGTACGACACGGGTTAATCACGCTCGACTTTGGACGTTTCCTCGACCGTTCCGCTTGGTGGTCCCGATTTATGACTGATGAATTTTGACGATTTAACTTTTTTTTGTACTCTCTGCAACTAGATTTCCATAATTAACGGATGGATGGAAGGATGGCAATCGCTCGATTTCAGTTCAGAAGCTCCTTGTCGGTAATTGCAAGATTTCCACAGGATTTAGCGTATATACATCAAGCTGGATCCACGTTATTCCCCATAAATCACGGTACTTTAATTTCTCCAGCCATCATCTTTGAATGTTGAATTTTAAAGATAACAATAACTTCCCCGAACCAAAACGAGGACCACCGACAATTTCCCCTCTTCTCTGTACCCTTTCCACCATCGTTTGATCGTTTTATCACCATTTTTGATCAAATGGAGCTTAAGTGTAAACTCCGTTTCAATCGTTGTTCTAATAATCTCATCTGTACAGTACCTAATCTAATCTATACAGTGTAATCTCATCTGTACAGTTACTAAATAGTATCAATTGTACCGCTACCACACCACTCTACTAAACACAACCTTATTAAATTCTCCTTTGGTATGGGTGGATCAACCAAAAGTCCCCAACTTCCTACCGCAAATTTTCTTTCAGTTACCAAATTATGAGGGGAGTATCTTTTAATTTGGGGTCCTTGTTGGTTAATTTGTTACCTCTATTAAGTTTATTTATTAAGTTACTTAGTTTGTATTTACATAATTTTGCATTGGATTTTTTATTTAATAAATATGTGAGGAGATATCGCATGATTGGAATGAGAATTATTGATTTCACTACCAAATTACGTACCTCTCTTATTCATTAAATTATCTAGTTAAATATTCATCATTAATACAAAAAATATACTAATAGTTACTTTGTTTTATATTATATATATATATATTACTATTTCTTCTTTACTCCCAACCATTCCAAATTATTTTTGTCACTTTAGCTTCATGCACTTAGATTAAAGAAAATCAAAAGCTGATAAATTTCAAAGAAAATATCTTTTTTTTGGCGAAAAAAAATCTTTGAAAAAGTTATAATATCCTTCAATTAATACTCTACATTTTTTGGATGATATTCTATTTCTATTGTTAAAGAGATGTAATAATTGTAAAAATGCAATTAAAATAAAGGGAGTACGGGACATGATCAGGAAAATTAAGAATCAATTATACAATGACTGTAAAACCCACGGGGCTATATATGCTACGAGGTGGTTTAAAAAAAAAACTAGCATAAAATTTATTGGTGATTTAATGGCATTCTAGATAACAAAACCATGTTTTGTCTGCGGTCATACACTATATATAAGATACTGACTATAATATTATTATGTCTATAAAGAGTAATTGTACATATCTTCGAACATTCAATGAGAGAATTTCACACACTTTAATAAAGTATTTTAAATAAATACCTATGAGAATTTAACACACTTTAACCTATTAGAATTTAACACAAAGAAAGTATATCTTAAACTAAAATTATGTCTTTAAAAATATTAAATCAAATGTACCAAACAAAAAATTATAATCAATATGTGCAAAATAATTCAAATAACCTATTTAAATAAAGTGCAGCAACTGTTAGCTAGAGTGGTTATTTGATGCATGCTATTGTGGTTTTAAGCTGATAATATTATTACCTTTTTTCTTTCAAAAATAAATCTATACAAATTAAAATAAATAAATTTAAAAATTAAAGAAAGAATTAAAAAATTTGAAAAAGTAAAAAAAAAATAGAACTCATATAATGTTATGAATGAATCCCAATAATAGTCTAAATAAACGAATTGAGCAGTGAGTAAGGAAGAGAGAGAAATAAAGAAAGATACGCGGGTTGCATTAAAAAATAAAAAAGAAAATTAAAAAAAAAAAACAAAAAAAAGGGAGAAAGAGTATGGGGCATGCCTATGACCAATTAATGTTGCAAGTCATATAGAGATGTTATAGATATTTTAAGTGAATTATAGCGTTTTTCGTTTAAGAAAAAGGTGAATATAGCAATTTCATATATACTAACGACCTTTTTTTTTCATATATATACATACTACATAGATTAATTTTTATTTGTGATTTTTATTATTACACTAAATATGATAATTTAATATATCGTTTTTTTTTTAGATAAGAATCATTTTCATTTCTTAAAGAGATTGGGATTACAAACACACAGGAAGACCCGTACACCGCTACATGATTAGCTACAATACCGAAATGCTAATCTATGAGCCAACAAACCCCTTCCCCAACAAACAAACCCAGTGAAATCTCATTACAATTCAAATAAATCTCTATACCCAAACATCTAAATGAGAATTCAATTCAAACTAGAAACTATCAACTACATACCTACCAAATAAACAAACAAATTACAAACAAACTCACATTCCGTGAGAGTTGAACCTAAGACCTCTTGGTCTAGGTAGGCTGGAACTAAGAGTTCAGTACTCTACCACCAGGCCAAATACCTGATGGCATAATTTAATATATCGCTGTTATAATATTTAGATCACTTTTATATATATGATTAAAAACGTCATGTCATACTGATATATTCGGCCCAAAAAAAAAACAGATAAAGTGGTAACAAATAACAAATTAACTGTTTCATTTTTTTTTTCTCTCTTCCCTTCTCTTTCCTCAACTTGCATGGCAACAAGATTTTCTTCAACTTGTATGTGAATTGGATGCTAAAAGGTAATGTCCAATTGCAACCAATATTGGAGGGATCGATTGGCTAGAGATGTAAGAGAATTACAGGTCACGATCTCATTACTATAGTAGTACTTGAAAGTTACTTCTTTTACCTTTGTATTTATTGTACTATAGGACTAATTATGAATAAACCGGAGGTAGATCATTTTCGTCGAAATGTCAGTCTATATATAGGGTACTCTCCTTTCATTCTTTCACAGAAACCAAAAGCCGACGCTACCCAAAACCTACCAAACTCTGGTAAGTAAACTCTTCTCTCTCTCTCTCT